GGTAGTAAAACATCTAAAATAGGCAAAGTCAGATATCTCTTTACATGATTTTTGTTTTTTTAATGTGGATTTTTCTATAGTTGGAAAACGAGAAGAACGCACGACCAATGTATTTAAAACCCAAAAAACACTTTAAAAACTTTTAAATCAATAGACTGGTTTTTTTTCTTTCTCATCACCTCTATATGTAGATTTTTCAATAGTTTGAACACGAAAAAAATGCATGTCCAATATATTAAAATCACAAGAAAACAATTACAAAACTTTGAATCAGTGGACTAGTCTTTTCTTCTATAGTTGGCCAACTTATATTTTTATCACATTATTAACCCACTCTAGTTTAGATGGCCTTAAACAAGTGTACCAACACCTTTAAAAATGAGTAAGTACTAATCCCACATCACAAAATAACATAATATTAATTCGTTCTAGCAACCTGACTAGTTAAAAACCCATAAATCCTATTTTTAATACCGGAAATTATACAGAATGATTCGAAAACAAAAAATATTTTTTAAAATAGAATTCCCATAAAAAAAAATTGTTGAAATATTTTCGAATCATTTTGTACACCTTTTCAAAAACATAAGCGTTACTCTTTTGACTGGCAGAATTATTGCGGAGCGACAACACATTGTTGGCAGATTGACATTTGCAACACAAGTAAATGGAGAATAGGCAAAGTAACGTGTGTGTGTATGGAGACCCAGTAAGACAAATGGTATGGGATCGCCTTTCTCATATCAGATTGCAGAGGGATGAAGCATGGGATTTCAATGAATTGATGAATAGTACAGAGAAAGTTGGAGGGGTCCGGTTCGAAATGAACCATCCTTTTGGAATTTTCGGGACATGGCAGCTAATTGTAAACTCCGAGAAATGAGAAGCTCAGGAAAAAAAAAAAGCCAGTGTCCTTGCATTCTGGTAATAGAATACAGGTCCTGAAATCGGCTTGGGAAAAGGAAATATCAAAGACGAATCCAAACAGACAACTAATGATGAGGATTAAAATTGGATTTAGCCGAG